CTTGGCTGGTGAAGCTTGCAGAAGGGACAACCCTGCAAACATAAATAGAAGATAAAGATTTTTTTCAATGCTTAGATTAAGGATTATATTTCGCATACTTACTTTGCAACATTAGGCATTGGTTTCCATGTCCTTGGTAGAGCGGCAGCCTTTCGAGGTTTTCGACTTATGACTTTAAATGATCCTTTTCGTTTGGTTGGAGGAGGAGATGCTTGTTGCTCTGCTTCCACTCGGTCACGCTTGGTCGCCCGAGTAGTTGGTGAGACTCCAGTCGGATCCTGGTTCCTCTTGGTCCGACCCTCCTGATTGGCATCCGGGGAGGGAAAATACTCCACTTCATCGCCGCTTTCGTCCTCGTCATCTTCATAAGTTTCATCCTCTGATTCTTCATCTTCTCCAACAGTGCACCGACTTGGGATGGAGGTTGTCGGCAGCCGGCAACCTCCATCCCTATTTCGATCTAACGTCCGCACTGTATCTTCGGTCGCCATGGACGGCGACCGGCCACTGTGGATCCAGGCGGGCAGAGGCGTGAACGATGGTGAACCCCTCCTCATCTTCTTCATCTTCTTCAACTCTAATTGGCGAGTCTTTTCCCCGACCATGGCGGCGGCGGAGGATGAGAAGTGCAGTTACGGGTGGAGGAGATGGGTGCGGCGGCGGTTTTGGTGAGGAGATTTGGGAATGGAATGAGAATTTTCCGATTCACCCATTCTTCCTTTTATTTATAGTAGGGAGGCCACAAGCAACGCGAGATCCCCTCCGTTCATCATTCATATCAACGGCGCTCAGGCAGCAGTAGTTTTAGCAAGTGAAGTTAGTGGGAACCCTAATCGAGGCGCCATCAGCACCCTTCATTACGCCCGCTACAGTGCGCACAATTTGAGGATGGGAATCAAAAAGTCTTCTTCATAATTGTCCCGTCAAATCCTGATTAGACTGCATGAATTCGTTTGGGTAAATGCAAAGAATTTCCTCTAATGCACTCAGAGACGGCATCAGAAAAGGTAATCCAAAGGGATAGAAATCTCGTTCTGATACAGAGCATCTTATGACATATTTATCGCATAAAAATGCAAGAAAAAACACGAGATCACTCACACCATCCAAAATCAACGATAGCCACACACCAAGCGTGAGAATTGCTCCACTTGGGAACATTTGTTAAAGGGTGAATTCGATGGCTCCGTTCGGGCCTTTTACTGAAGGAAATATGCCCTAGAGACAATAATAAAGTTGTTATTTATATTTCTTTATATCATGATAAATGTTTATTATTCATGCTAGAATTGTATTAACCGGGAACTTAGTACATGTCTGAATACATAGACAAAAACAGAGTGTCCCTAGTATGCCTCTACTTGACTAGCTCGTTAATCAAAGATGGTTAAATTTCCTAACCATAGACATGTGTTGTCATTTGATGAAGGGATCACATCATTAGAGAATGATGTGATGGACAAGACCCATCTGTTAGCTTAGCATAATGATCGTTAAGTTTTATTGCTATTGCTTTCTTCATGACTTATACATATTCCTCTGACTATGAAATTATGCAACTCCCGAATATCGGAGGAATATCTTGTGTGCTATCAAACGTCATAACGTAACTGGATGATTATAAATATGATCTACAGGTGTCTCCGAAGGTGTTTGTTGGGTTGGCATAGATAGAGATTAGGATTTGTCACTCCGAGTATCGGAGAGGAGTGTCTGGGCCCTCTCGGTAATGCACATCACTATAAGCCTTGCAAGCAATGTGACTAATGAGTTAGTTACGGGATGATGCATTACGGAACGAGTAAAGAGACTTACCGGTAACGAGATTGAACTAGGTATGATGATACCGACGATCGAATCTCGGACAAGTAACATACCGATGACAAAGGGAATAGTGTATGTTGTTATTGCGGCTTGACCGATAAAGATCTTCAGAGAATATGTAGGAACCAATATGAGCATCCAGGTTCCGCTCTTGGTTATTGACCGGAGATGTGTCTCGGTCATGTCTACATAGTTCTCGAACCCGTAGGGTCCGCACGCTTAACGTTCGATGATGATTTGTATTATGAGTTATGTGTTTTGGTGACCGAAGTTTGTTCGGAGTCCCTGATGAGATCACTGACATGGCGAGAAGTCTCAAAATGGTCGAGAGGTAAAGATTCATATATTGGAAGATAGTATTCGGACATCGGAATGGTTTCGAGTGGTTCGGGTATTTTACCGGAGTACCGAGGGGTTACCGGAACCCCCCGGGGAAGTATTGGGCCTACATGGGCCTTAGTGGAGAGAGAGGACGGCCGCAAGGGGTGCCCCCCCCCATGGCAGTCCGAATTGGACTAGGGGAGGGGGCGGCGCCCCCCTTTCCCCTCTCCCTCTCCATCTCCTTCCTTTTCCCCTCCAGTAAGAAAGGAAAGAGGGGGGCAAATCCTACTAGGAGTGGAGTCCTAGTAGGACTCCCCCCATGGCGCGCCCCCTTGTGGTCGGCCTCCTCCTCTCCTCCTTTATATACGGGGGCATGGGGCACCCCATAGCACATCAATTGTTCTCTTAGCCGTGTGCGGTGCCCCCTTCATAATTTACTCCTTCGGTCATAGCGTTATAGTGCTTAGGCGAAGCCTTGCGTGGATCACATCACCATCACCGTCACCACGCCGTCGTGCTGACGGAACTCTCCCTCGACCCTTTGCTGGATCAAGAGTTTGAGGGACGTCATCGAGCTGAACGTTTGCTGAACTCGGAGGTGCCGCACGTTCGGTACTAAGATCGGTTGGATCGTGAAGATGTTCGACTACATCAACCGCGTTAACCTAACGCTTCCGCTTTCGGTCTACGAGGATACATGGACACACTCTCCCTCTCTCGTTGATATGCATCTTCTAGATAGATCTTGTGTGATCGTAAGAAAGTTTTTGAAATTGCATGCTACGTTCCCCAACATTTACTAGGTTCCAAAGCATCGAATCACGGGTTTGGATCTGGAGTTGATAAAAGTTGGTGTTCTCCCAGGATAATGATTGGCATTTCCTGAGAAAATCGGTCCAAACGTCAAGTTTGTCACTCGGATTTCATGATAGATCCTTGACGGGATCACTAGTCACCCTCTTCCAATAGAAGATTTTGAGTGTCACTAAACTTTTCCTGACAAGATTGTACTAAAAGATCCGGGACACGAAAAGTTGGATCCAAGAATCCGCCAGGATCTTTCTCTATACACTTTCGTGGAACAATCAAAAGGCACTCGGGATACCATTCCTCGTGAGGAACCTCACTCAGATTCAACAGATTACGGGATCTAATTCCCGCAGGATCCTAGCGAATTTGGTGGCTAATGACGTGGTCATCTCCCACCGGGTAGGGCCACGAGGATCTAAACCTAGCTAAGATGGTTAGAGATGCTCTCACATTAGAAATGTTATGTTTTTTCTTTCACTCTGTTTTGCAAGGAATTTTCATCCATTCAATAAATATGTTACATTCATAAAAATAACTCGGTTACATTTTTCCTTATGAAAAATGCATGTAGAGATCTCATGCTTATATGAGAGCATCATTGAATTTCCCAGCAGATATCTCATGCACAATTCATGGTACAAGATCGTGGCAAAAAAAAAGAAAGAAAAATCTTGGTACAAGAAATCAGGATGTTTCTTTCTCGATAAGTAACGAGCATGCATTTTCCTTTTCATCAGGGATGTCTTGGTACAATAACTGTGATGCGAAACTTTTTATCCAAGATCATTTGCACAACGCTGATCCAACCTTTGATCTCTTTAATTTGTGTACCTTGATTTCTCCAAAATTCATGTGAAATTACCGGAGTAATAGACGAAGAGATGCCTAGTAGATAGATGGAGACATGAGACCCATATGTTTCACTTCCCTTCGGGAGAGATGGATCCTAGTCTATAGGATGTGTCCTACTTGTTGGGACTCCTTTTGGCGGGTGCTGCCATAGGTCCTTTATAGGCATCGGTTGTCTAGCGAGCAGAGATGCACAGACGTTTCATAGTTGTTTTTCCGGCTGCTACGGACTTGGACGAGGATCCTCACGGGCCTCTTTTCTCATGGTTGGGCCAGTTTTAGGTAATCATCTCGCTACACTCCACATATCGTGTTTACTTCGTTTTCATTACTAGCTAGTTGATACAATTATTTGGTTTCTATGCATATTGTCAGTTAGGATGGCCGGCTGTCCAGTTCCCAGAGCCACAGATTGATCGGTGCCTAAAGGCGTATATTCACTAGTTATTCAGCAAGACAATGTTCACGGAGAATCATGTGACCACTATCCATGCACGCTTCATTGGTATTGCGCGAGAGATAGCAGATGCTCGTTGCCCTAGCTAGGGGACATCGTGTAGAGGAGTTTCGGTTCTGCCTTGTTAGTAGCTACGTACAAAGGCTTTTGCAACGGTTGCACTCGGAAGGCAAAAAAAAAATCAGCTTGCTTGGATGTCCACTGTTGCTGCAACTATGGTCATACGAGAGATTTCCTATTCGATGACCATGCGTCTCCATGGAGATACCTTATGGGCATGCGGACATGGAGTCTTGATCTTGCATCTCTGGAGTTGTAGAATTATTGTGGACTGAGCTAGGTCTGTAGCAGTAGTATTTTTTGCACATTGACATTTGTCCACTATATATTTTAAAATTCTAATCAGTACACCGGACATGGACAGATGAAACTGGTCACAAACTTCTCCAATTCACAATACTATATGCTTGCCAACGCCAAACCAATCCTCACTGCAATGTGCATCTCTGGATCGTATTCGGTTCAAATACCAGTGGAAAAACAGGTGTACTGGTGTGCCGTGTGCATTGCAAGTCTGCAAGCAAGTGCAGCCAACATCCCCAGCCGTGTGACATCCATCCATCATCGAGCAGAATTCCATTCCCCCCCTCGCTGTCTCTCTCTGTACACACTAACAGCCTAAAGAACCAATATGCACTCCTCCCATGGCGGCTAGCAAGCTTGCCGGCAAGAGCAAGTGCTACCTTTCGGGTATGGAGTCCGGCACGGAGAGCCTGTCGGAGCCGTCGTACTTGCTCTGCACGGGCGTGGTCCTCCTCGACTGCCGCTTGGTCGCTACAATCACCTCCTCCGCGCCAGGGTCCTCGGCGACGTAGAACTTGTCGACGTCGTCGCTCTTGAACACTGGGTGCAGGTACGAGTCCGCCAGGTACGACTTGAGGTCGAAGTTGGGCTCCCTCGCGTGCTCCAGCGTGTCCTTCCTCATCGCCTCCTGCGCAAACCACAAACACATCTTCAGACTCTCGGCACCGAAGAGGACAAGGAGAAATCAAAATCCGACGGCGAAGAGAGATTAGGTGTAAACGTTACCTGCAGCGGGTTCCTCACAAACGCGGGCTTGTACCGGTGCGTGCAGTACTTGTGGAACCAAAAGGTTAATATTGGAAGAACGAGGAGAACTGGCGTCGCCTCCTCCAAACCTTTTGTGCTCAAGAGCCCAAGGAGAAGCAGCTGCGATGCGATCAAGGCTACGATTATGCGTAGATGCACGTTGGGCCAGAACTGCGCCCCACTCTCGTACCGTTGATGGTAGACATTTATGATCTGAAACAATGTAGGATCAAGTGATAAGGAAACCAAGCATTCAGAGAGTTCATTCGGAGGTTCATCATATTCGACCATCATCGAAACACCAAAAATCTCCGAAGTAGCAGCAAGAGCTCTTTACTTACCTGGTGGCGGTAGACAACGTATCCCAGCGCAAAGAATACCAGTATAAAAGGTAGCAAGAGCGGTGTCACTGCAGCATACACAAGACCAAGCAAGAAATATAGCTGTATTCGAGGCTCAGACCAGTAAAAACAGATGCTGCCCGGATCCATTGCCTCTTCTCTGTCCTTCTCCGTCTTGACCAAGAAAAAGTTTTTCAGGTGGTATAGCACAAATGCCCTTATTCTCAATATTTCAAGAGATACACCAGCCCAACCATCAACCATTACGTATGTTATGAAAAATGTTGCCTTCATTGGTATGGCTACACCAATGATCCTTGGTATGCTGCAAAAAAAAAGCAATTTAGACTCACTGGAGATAGCCATCACCATTCAATTTAAGAATGTGAAGAACAAATTTTCAGATCCATGGATCAGTGCGCAATAACAAACACAAACAAAAAATTACCAACGTTAACCAGTCTGTTAAGTAAAAAAGGATCAGCAGCACCTAGCACAGGTCATTACATACAGCGATGTTCCAGCCAAGTCCATGACATAATTTCTTTGCCAATTTCAAGAAACTATATGTGTTGGGTCTAATTTAGAGAAAGTTAATGAGAATTCTAATATGTATCATGCATTAAGCGTAATTGATGTTTGTTTCTAAAACATGAGCGAAGTCAAAGAAGATAGGCCAGCCAGGGTTAACAAACTGTAACTAAATGCAAAACCATGTTTTTTTCCTGAAGGTGGACATTTTTCTTCCAAGAATCACAAAGTTATCACCGACACTGCTAAATCTGTTCAGGAGTCCTCCCATATTAAGGTGAAGTAAAAATATCATCCCAAGAAAATGGAACACCATGCTTAGGAAAAATACGATAAAAATGCAATAGACCAACCACATATGAGCTACATGTTGCAGCAAACTTATAGGTGATGTGCTATTTATACACCTCTTACTCTAAATGCATAATTGGTAAATGTGTCTGTAAGGGACATACTCATTAGCTGACGCATGAAGGTAGGTATCAAGCTGCTCCAAAGCAGATCCTGTAACGATGCTCCCCAAAAATACATTGAAGAACAAGAATATAAAATACTTGGATGCAGTTCTTCGCTCTAGTGATGACTGTGATATTAATCCTTCAAACTGTGACATGTACATCAGTATAGTTGGAAGCACTATGAGGAAGATCTTCAGAGCAAGTCCAGGAAGAAACCCTTGGATGAATGATTTAATGGGGGGTCTGGAAAATAGTTGGCAAGCAGAAATCGGGAGGACATCAATATATATGACATCTCAACAATAAACTTTCACACTGATTCTACAGCAATGATGGAAAATCTATGGAGACGCCACGAAACTGGGGAGTAATTAACATTGTGAAAGTAGACTTACGATTCAATTAAAGGTTTTAGAAATGGTAGTGCCTTCTCTATGCCTTCAAGATTTGCAAGAGTCTGTACGAATGCTATTGGAATGACATAGAAGAAGTTGAGGAAGAAAAAGGCCACGCCAATTATCAACCTCCTGACTGTGAGGGAAACAAAGGGAATAGATAGATTACTCCAGTAGACATCACGAGGTTCTGGAGCCCATTCAGTCAGCCAAAGGGTTGGGTTGCTGGTTTGTTGTGTCTGTGCACAAACAGCTGCACCCCACCGTGAACGAAAAGAAACAAAGGCTGCTGGCATAATGGACTTGGGATCCTTCATGACCTTTTTACGCTCTTCAGCTTCCTGTGTATTGTCATGGTATTAGACTATGTATTCTGACAGTTAGCTGTAAACAATAGATAACCTAACACTTAAAAAGAACAAAGAAAGATTAGAAATCTAGTCAAAACGGCAACATGCATAGACGAATAGTGCAAAGGTTACATGAATACATATTTTGTAACTTACTTCCTTCCCTATCTTCTCAATCTCTGATTTGCAGTGATCAATCGCATCCACTTCAGAACCAAAACATCCAAGAAAGCCAGTCTGTAATTTAGGTCCAAAGATAGGCAAAGGAATTACAAAACAGACCCCGAATACAATAAAAAAGCAATGAATGGGTAACTATATTTGCAGACCAACCTTAGTTGTTGGCCTTTTGGATTTTCGCTCAAGCTTGTTTTGGTAGTAATCAAGCCAATTCCGCATTTTCTTCTTCTTCTCAACCAGATCAGCAAGTTTATTTGCATTGTAAACTGTCTATTGAGCAACAAGACATAAAAGATTAGTCCCCTACAAAAATCATCTGAAGAGGTATTCAGCAAGAAAGAAATGCAATATAAGGCTTAAGCACAATAATTAGTTTAAGGAAAATCATAGTTATTATTTTTAACTAAGTAGCTAAACAAATATCATCATATGATTCATGTCGTGCTATAGCATATCAGTACCCTGATAATTGCTTTGCGCTGCACACTTCCTTACATTTGGACTTGCAGATGATTCTTCAAATGGGAGATGTTCCAAAATTTAGTGATTACCTGATGTTTCAGATAATGATCAGGATGATTGACAAGGAAGAAATGTTCCACAAGCTCGCTAACTGATTCATCGGGGTCTGGTGGTATGTTCCGTACAAGAACCTACAATAAAAATACATTGATGACTCAGAATCAAAAGAATAATCAGAGAACCATTAATCTAGATAAGATCATTCTACTAAGATCATTGCTGTATGGAGCATTCTTTTTTCTAGAAAAGGGTTCTAAACTGAGCTCATGTATAAGTTGCAGTCACAAAGGTGCTTTTATGACAACAATTTGCCAGAAAAATCTGCTCCAGAATTTGCTTTCGAATTTTAAAATAATAGGAATCTTTAAATAGTTATCAAGTTGTACAATTCCAATTTTGAAATAATAGGAATATTTAAATGTTTATCAAGTTACACAATAACAAAAAAGAAAAATCCAGTGTGTAATCCTTATAGTCCCACAACTTGCTAGTCTGCCAGCACCTTTTGAGTTATCCAAACTTACATACAACACCCTAAACATCCCAATATACTAAATAGGAAGAGTATAGGTAAATGGGTATACATACAGTGAACTGATCCGGTCGGCGTTTCTCTGAAGCAAGAAAGCGCAACCTCATAGTCGCGACTCTTTCATACTCATTCTTAAGTACATAGCAGGTCCAAAAAGTAAATACATAGGCCATAACCAAGTGAGCTATAAACCTGCACAAAAAATGGAAGCATGAGCATAATCATGAACATACAAGAATGAACGAACCTCTAACAATTATGGGTGGAAGATTTATGTTGCGTGGCTGATATGCAACAACATGCTTTTGAGCAGAACAACTTCCTATGACTGGAATTTTTTTATATATTTTTTACGGGCAGTTGCTAAACGCTAAGCCTGTACAGAGTGCTTGCACCTTACTAAAATGACACAAGAATGGTGCATTGCTCACCCAAATAAACACTAAGAATCCTGCAACCATAAGAAACTCATGTGCCTACGGCGCAAGCAGTATGCATATATAGATATTACTTGTGGCAAGCCAGCGCCACTACTGAATATCTACAGCTTCTATGAAACGAATCAGCAAAGCATTTTATAATCAACATAAATAAACTATTTCTGCTACATATCCCGTTGCTCACCTCTTTGATCCATGAGGTATGTTGGATATTGAAAGGTTGTCAATATCACTGTGGACTACCTTCAAATCATCTAGCGTATCATTGGTCCAGTTCACAGGGACCAGAACAGCAAAAGCAAGAATCGTAATCGGGACAAATATCTTCAGTCTGCAGTGATTAGTTAAAAGTTCGTCAGCATATAGGCATCGAAAGATTGGGCACTTGACATGAAGGATGTTATGCGCAAAATGGATAATAAATAATATAATGTACATATGCCCATCTGATGTTCCAAATACAGTGCTAAACCATATGTGATTAAAAATAATAATAAGGAAAAACGTTTTTGCATAACAGAAATGGGCCTGCTTATTAAAACCCACATGATATGTGTGGCCCCATTAATAGACTTGAAGTATAAGTAACAACACAGGCAGAGCAGTAAAATTTGGCAACCTATAGACATCATTCCCATGCAACATGTACGTAAAAAGCACTAAATTTGGTAGTTATGCTCCAGGTTTATGCCTTAAAGAGACTGATAATGATAAAAAAAAATTGCTGGCACCAAAGAATCACATAACCAAACATTTGATCAACAAGGGATTAGCAATGCCATGGTAAAAAAAAGAGCTTGCATGGGCGGTAATATAATAAACAACAAAGACAAGCGGTTGCAAAGAGCCAGCAAGAGCGCAAAGCTGCAGCAACGTACCCGGTGAGGTATATCCGTAGATAGACAACGGAATCGAGGCCGGCATGCTCGATCAACTCCTCCTCGGGCATCTTGAGAGCAGCCGGCATCCAGCTCAAGAACTTCAAGTACGACCGCACGTTCAGGTTGACATACTTGGTCACAGCGGCGCCGGCGGAGGAGGGGCTGTCCCGCATTCCCTTGAGGTACCATTTCGGGAAGAAGATCCTGTCGTTGATGGGCTGTAGCCGCAGGAAAGCGAATATCAGCAGGAAGATGGTGGCGGTCACTATGTTGAACGCCGCCCCGACGCCAATGTCTTTGATCGTAGCCATGGCTGTCCTTCAGATGACTTAATAACTTGACAGAGAACACGGCCTGCACATGCGGACCGTATGATGTTAGAATGACTGAAAGCAACCACACGATGAGCGATAATGTCACACAAACGTGATGCCACTTGTGAATGAAAAGATAAAACAAAACTGCGCCACAAATGTATGAAACCGATTGTGCACTGATTTAGTTGTACATCTACATCGCCCTGGCTGCCAGCACAGCATGACTGCGAACGGATTCGGTGCCCGAATGGACGACAAATGCCGGCCACAAATTTGGGCGGACAAACGGGCGGGCGCTCGCTGCCACATGTTGAAGCAGCAAGCAAAAGCACAAGTGGCACAGCCAAAGCACCTCCAATGATGATTAGATAGCAAGCTGGTGGCTCTGGTGCATGGAAAGGAACCGGCAACGGAATCGAAAGCTGTGTCGATCAATCAAGTATCTATCTTGTGGGGCGTGTGAATTAAATCAAAGCTGATGGATGGGTTTGCGTATCAGCCGTCCCGCCGGCCACCCGGAATCGTCGGAGCGTGGTGTGTTTGACCCCGGAAAGCGAGAGAGAGGGTTTCGGGTTCAGGGGCCCGTTGCCGACTTGCATGACAGCAACGGCAGCGGAAAAGTTGGGGTATTATTATTTCCCACTATATATGTATATGTATATACTATTGGCAGCGTATCACGGGGGAATAAAATACGTGGTGCTGGTGGAGCAACTCCGGGGAAAAAGACCAAGTATTTGTCCTGTTTCTGTCTAGATTTTTGGCGAGAATAATGGAAGATGGTGGTGGTGGCGGTGCGCCCACGGAGGGGAAAATAATTCTGGCCAGCGGCGTTGCTTCGCAGCCAAGATTTCGCGAACAGAAAGATAATAAAAATATTTAAAAAAACGTATTTATTTTGGCTCCTCTGCTTCCGAGTTCCAACAATGCGGACAGGATGAGGAAATTGATGATACGCCGACCTCCAAATTTGCTGCGCGGAAGTCAACCCAGCTAGACGGGAAACGACGGGGGACAGGATCTGCGGCGGCTGGGGAGCGAATACCGGCACGTATCCCTTGTGGGCAATCGGACGAACAGTTGGGCGGCGGCGAAAGCGCTGGAGCCCTACAATCCCATCCAACCAACCGAAAGAGAGCGGAGGGCAGGTGGAAGGAGAAGAGGAAGAAGGAGGAGGAGGAGCAGACCTGGGCTGTCGATCTCCCTCGCGTCCGGGGCCGGCGGCGGCGGCGGGGTGTTCCTTTCCCCCCAAAAGCCACCGGTGTGCTCGGGGGGTAGTAGCTTCGGCTTTGCGCCTAGGGTAGGGTAGGGTAGGGTAGGGATGATCCTCCCCTGGCTCCTCTGCTTCGTTCCTTGCTTCCCCCGCAGCCTTCCTTCCGCTGGCGTGGCGGGGCAGATTGCTTGCCTTTCTCCGGCGCGGATGCCGGCCGGCGGGTGGTCGGTTGCGTCGGCGAGCAGCCACGCCGGATTCGATGCTCTGCTTCGGATTCAAACTCTGCCCCGGTGCTACCACCACTAGTAGTATATCTACCTATCTATCTGTCTGGAACTCTGCTTCCGTTGGTTTAAAAGGGGCGGAGGCGATGGGAAAGTGAATGGAGACGAGAGAGGAGGGGAGGGGAAGAAGAAGATATCGATCGGAACGGATGGATTGCGGAGCGCAACGGTCACCTGGGCTGAGCCAAGCTGTGTACACGCGGACACGCGGTTTCGCCACGGCGAGGAGAGGCGGCCAGGCCCACCCACCACCCACCACGTGTGGAGGGCGGCGCCTACACACGAATGGTACACGTACGATCCACGGGACTGGACCGTTTTTTCAGCGCCGGCGTGAAAAATCGCCTGGAAAGGCCTTTATAGGGGCGCGGCTGGAGATGCCTTTAAACCTCTCCAACCATCACATATATTTTTCCTGACGAGCCGGTGCCCACCACATGCACGAGTTAACCCTCCTTCATTTCTCCAACTGCAGCGTCACAACTCATTGTTGCTTGCAACGCCATTCCTAGTTCGGTCATCAGGGTTAACGCTCCTCGCTACCGCTCTGTCGCCCCCATTCTTCGACCTGGATTATATTATCTCTGAAATAAACTTGCGTTGATTCGAATTCCAGACAACATACAAATAACTAGCACACAGTTAAAAATATACCTCGCTTGCTAGCGATGTAGTTTTTAGAGAAAAGCTTTTACGTGTAGAATGTTAGGTTCGAAATAAGAGGTAGTTCCATAATTTATGTATATATGGTATTGTAGATGTAAACAGTTTTCTCTATAAATTTAATCAAAATTTGTAAAATGTGACTTTTCAGAAAACATATGCACCCTAATTAGTACTTGAAATAGAGAGAAAGATGGAGTATATTTTTGGCCCAGCCGGGAGCATTAGGTCCTGACCTCACTTGTCATCATCTACTAGCAGAGAAACGCTTGCTAGGTGCCAGCGAGCTTGCTGCATGCGTACCGGATTTCCACGCCTGGATCTGATTCTCCCCTGCTCTTCGCCTCGGCCGAGCTAAAGCAGGCTAGCGAAAAGGGACACACGGCTTTGCCACGGCGGTACGTACCTCCGTCGACATACACGTCGCGCGGGTCGACTAGAAGGGGTCCTCGGATGTCACTGTCGCGGGCGGGGGTGCCAATAGTGTTTAAGCCAATTCGAACGACTTCAATGCGGCAACCCATTTCGTCCACGGCCGTCCGTTTGGGTCGGTGCGGACAAAAAAGGCGGCTCAACGCGCCGATCTAAACGGACGCGCGTCGTTTTTCGTCCGCGGGCGATCCATTCTTGGCCCATTTTTTTTAGCCTGATTTAAACGGACACGCGACGGACGCGCGCTTGCTCGCCTACTCCTGTCCCCGGGCCTGCTCGTCTGTGCCACATTGGCCTTCCCTCCCTCACAGCCAACAAGCAACCCTCGCCCCCGCCTCCTCAGTCACCGACGCCGCCGCCTCCACATCCGCCCAGCAACGCCGCCCCTGTCCCCAATCGCCCGCCGCCGCCGTTTTGCCGCCGGGGAGCAAGCTGGTTCCCCGCCGCTGTTTCCCCCACCGTCCAGCCGCCCCGCGATCAAGTAGACGCCTCGCCGCCCCAGCCACAGACGACCGGCACGCTCGTCGGACGCCGTCACACTCGTCGGACGCCGACCGGGCAGCTAGCTGGTCTGTGGGCGCCGCGTCTCCCCTCGCCGGCCGTCTCCTTCTTCAACGCCCGCAAACTGTTCGACAGTTTGCCAAGGTACGAAAATGGACTTCGCCGACGAGTTTTTTTTCCACAATTTCCTTTGCGACTCCGACGATTCGTCGTCCGACGACGAGGAGGAGATATTGGCTGCCGTGTTGGTCCATCACCACCTCAACAACCAGCGGCCGTTGTTTCGTGGCTCCATTCCGGGCCACCTTCCGGCGTTGAATCGTAACCAGGAGAGCGGGCATTTCCTTCTCTGAAAGGACTACTTTGATACAACAAACCCGTTGTTCAAACATCACAAATTCCGCCGCCGGTTCCGTATGAGTAGGCATGTTTTCAACCGTATTAGAGAGGGAGTGGTCGGCTATGATGACTGCTTCGAGTGCAAAGAGGATGCCGTCGGCAAGATTGGTTTCTCCTCTTATCAGAAATGCACTGTCGCCATCCGAATGCTTGCATACGGAGTGCCCGGTGATCTCATTGACGAGTACGTCCGTATGAGCGAGTCTACATGCCTAGAGTCTCTGTATAAGTTCTGTAAGGCTGTGATTGCTGTGTTTGGCCTTGAGTACTTGAGAGAGCTGACAGCTGAAGATACAGCCCGTTTGTTGGCGATGAATGCTAGCAGGGGCTTCCCGGGGATGCTTGGCAGCATAGACTGCATGCACTAGGAGTGGAAGAACTGCCCTTCTGCTTGGCAAGGGCAGTATAAGGGACATGTCAGGGCTTGCACTGTCATACTAGAGGCCGTGGCGTCTCAAGATCTTTGGATCTGGCACTCTTTCTTTGGCATGGCTGGATCACACAATGATATCAACGTGCTTCAGTGCTCGCCGGTGTTTGTTAGGCTTGCCGAGGGCAACAGACCACCGGTGAACTTTACTGTCAACGACCACACCTACGACAAAGGGTATTATCTGGGTGACTGTATCTATCCTCGATGGACCACTATTGTCAAGACAATACCCAACCCTGTCGGAGAGAAAAGGAAAAGATTTGCCCAAGAGCAAGAGAGTGCTAGAAAGGATGTCGAGCGTGCCTTTGGTGTTTTGCAATCTTGATGGGGCATCGTTCGGTATCCTGCTAATACTTGGAGCACGCAAAAACTATGGAAGGTGATGACTGCTTGTGTGATCATGCACAATATGATCGTAGAAGACGAGCGCCTGGAACGTCTGTACGATCAAGGCTTTCAGTTTCAGGGTGAGAATGTCGTGCCTGAGCATGGAGTAGCGGCAACATTTGAGCAGTTCACTCAGTTTCATGAAGACATGCGTGATTGGGAAACTCACGTGCAACTGCAAAATGATTTGGTTGAGCATATGTGGACTCATGTTGGCAACCAATAGATGTATTTTTTTTATTTGTTTGCAAAACTATGTGAAACATTTTTATTTTTATTTGGCCTGTAAACTATATTATTTATTTGGGCGGACTATTTTGTTCATTAAATTTTCATTTCACCATACATTGAATGCAATGCAAAATTAGGCGGCCAGCCGGCCACGCCTACATATATGGGTCGGCGTGTTTGGCGCATTGCTGACCCATATGAAAAACAGGACGGACGCCGGGTGGACGACCGACCCAAACGAACAAAAAACGGACGAAATCGCCGTATATTTGGGTCGGCCCGTTGGAGTTGCTCTTCGTGGCCTACATTCAATGATGTACTATCTGCAAGAGCTAATACGGCTCGTCCCTTGCCACTGACAGTTTGCAACACACTTGGATTTTCGAATTTTTGGTGACGTTACGGTTACACAATTGATGGATATTTTATTTTATTTTTGAAAAAGAGGACA